TGTTCACCACTGCTGTGTTTCCTGCCCAGAGAGAGAGGGAGTTACCTTTCGTTTTGAAAAGAGTCATCCACGTCCACCAGCCACTGGCACAGGCCGTTCTGGTTTCAGTCTCTCATACTGACAGCCTGCAGCAGGTACTGACATTCAGCTCGTTTCATGTACCTTTTGCAGCAATGCAGAAAGAAGCGTGTAACCGAGTCCTGTCAGAGGCCTGGCAGTGCAGCAGTTCTCTGAGCTGCAGCAATGTGTCTGCAGAGGTGAAAGGAAGGCGGGCTGGCCTTTCGCCCACTTGGAAGAAATCTGCCAGAAACTGCTTTTTTAATTCTGTTACCTGCTTTTGTGGTTTGGGTTTGCCTGGGGGTTTCTAAGTATCTTTTCTGAAATAACTTTACGGACAAGACAAAAGAACAGTAGAACAAGTGAAACATCTGCTGAGGCACAGTGATGTTACTGAAGAAAAAAATGTTATACCTTTGGTTTAAATTTGGGACCTAACACCTAGGATCAAATACAAGTCCTTGACCACATGTGCATTCCAGAAGACTGTTTTCTTAGTTTTTGTTTGGTTTTGTTTTGTTTATTTTTAGCGGTGGGATTAGGTGGGTGAGTTTAGATTAAAGGAGAAGCTTTTATTTCACCCTTTGTTTAGAAAATCCCAATCAGCATGCTCCAGTCATCAGGCCTGCACGGGTAAGCAGCTTTATCACACGCAACCCTTCTACTTCTCCTACTGCCTAGTTTTAGTGCTGGTATTTTTTCAGGCTCTCACTTGTAGAATGCTTTTCTTTCTACAAGTAACACGAGCCAGTAGTACTGTTACTTCAGCTGAAGTTTTTGTTCAATGAAGGACACTCTTTGGAAAACTTTTCTGTTCTGCTCTTCAGAGCACTACATAAAGCACAGGCTTTTCTTGTTCTTGCTCATAGTCAATCTCTAACTATCTGATGGCTTGGCAGGTTAATTCATCCCTTCTATGCCACTCTGTTTTCCTTCCTTGCTGCTTTTTGCAAAACACAAACAATTACTCCTTTTGCTGTGACAGTTTATGAGATGGCTCTGTCATTAGTTTAGTTTAGCATTCATTGAAACTCAATTCCTGTTCCCTCTCTGTGAAGTCTTGCTAAGTGTAAAAATTCAGAAAACAGCTCCTCTTTTGGTCAATTTCTTGCTCACAATGCGTATAAACCAGCTATTCAGGTATAATCTGGGGGAAATTGATGTTTTTCTGGTCACCATAAAGCAGACAGACAATTTTCTAACTAAATGTGTACTGACTCTGAATTATTCTGTGATGTAAACAGTATTTGGCCACAGAACTAGCTTCTTATACTTCGAGAGAATGATCTCAGACTGGAGCTAGGTTGGTACTGATGTTTCATCAAGTGCCTTTTGTTCTTACTGTCCTAACTAAACTCTGCTATGGAGTCACTGAGGTTCCCAAAGCCTCCAGCCCTCCAGGAAAGCAGGAAGCACTTGCTGTAATTAATACTACTGCTGTAAGTTACTGTTCACAGCTGAAAATCCTGGCTTAGTTTTTAAGTTACCAGAATTATTTATGAAGGCAATTAAGCCTTCATATTGTCATAAGTCAAGGACAGCCCCAGTGTGTATTTACAACTACCAGAACAGCAGCAGTAGCCAAGCCTGCACATCATCACAGAACCTCCCGAGTGCCAGAGCTCAACCCCAGCCAGGACACAGGCACTCCCTGGCATCCAAGCGCTCGGTGTCAGGAGCAGGACACAGCTGCACAGAGGCACAGCTGGCAAGACCAATGCAACCACGATGCCTAACGCCCCAGCAGGTTTGAAACAAGTGGCATCCAAAACATTCTCCTGGAAGAGGGAAAGTGTCAGATCTTTTCTAGACGTACCTAATTTCAGCTATCTGCACAGGTGCTGGTTTGTACCAGGAGAGAGCTGGTAATGGAACTCAGTCTGGGAATCCACTGGTCCCCATCACCTGATGTCTGGGTAACTCTGAGTAGCAAGAATTTCCTTTGGCTGCTCAAATGAAATTATATATGAAAAAAGGACTCTTACGAAGTGGTACTATTTCTGTTCATTTCACTCACCTTCTCTGTTTTACAGCAGCAACAAGGTCTGGCCCCGAGAACATGGAGAACAGACTGTCTCCGTTCGCTGAGGAGGTCTCATCACTTGAGCTGGCAGAGTCTCCTTGAGTACCAGACCAGCTATTTGTCACGTCACTGCAAGACAAAAAGTGGGGTTAGTCCTTGTACTTACAGTGCTGCTGCAGCCTGTATGCCCCAGCTGTGCTAACTCTTTGCCACAGGCAACATCTCAGAGCACCAGGAGATTTTAATACTTGGTAAAATGTGCCGCTTCTGAGTGACAACATTAACTGCTTTGTCTGTCACAGCCTCTTTACAGATATTTTACTGAAATAATAATATAAATTAGAAGTGCCTCTCCTGGTCAGGAAGGAGAAACAAATGATACTTGGGTTTGGAATCACTAAGCCGTTGACTTTCACTGCAGCACTGAACTAGGGCACACACCTGTCCTACTGGTTTTGTGCTAGCTCAAGTGTCAAAGCTAAGGGACAGAGAATTGTGAGACACTTCTGTTGTAGTAAACAGTTACAGTTTGGAAGAGATGAAGAACTACTGATGTACTTGCTGTGAGGTACCTGCCTTATAGTAGCAAGGTTAGGTGGCTAAAATCTGGAAAACTGAATTCAGTCAGGCACTGCAACTTTGACAGCATCACTTTTCATCAACACTAGGTCTCAGAGGTTTTCAAAATACCGGAAGAAAACCATTCTGAATGCATCTGTGCTATGAATTCCCTATTTCCTCTGCTGGAGCCCCAGTCAGTATCTGCTGCTCTAAAGACAACATTGAACAAGTGTCAGCAGGGAGGGCTGATTAATCAAGTGCAGCTTTTGCAGATGCAGCAGCAACTGGCAAAAACACCTGACATTCCACATTCTGCCAAGTCTGGGTGCAAAACAGACTCGTACAATAAAACACACAGCCCGACCCATCTCTTACCCCTCAGTGAAGTACTCGGGGAAGGGCCAGGTTTTGTGGGGGTCGTCAGGGAGAGCCCAGTTGCCGCGCGCGTTGCTCGGACGACGGACGTGCTGTGCTTGCCTCTTCTGCTGCATAGCCTGGTTGACCCCAGCGACGTAACGGGCAAACTCTGGGTCAGAGCCAACTGGAGGAAACACACCAAGAAGTTAGGTGCTGACATTCATCTATTTCTGCTGCACTTGTGCCCCTCGTTTCATCCTTTGGGCTTCACCACAGCCCACAACAAAATCACTTCCTCCCTGATGGTGGCCAACAGTTGGTACCTCTTCACAGGGCAGTGAAGGACAGAATGGGAAATTCTTTTTAAAAAGTAGACACACACCATCTGTGGTGGATAATAATTCTCACATGGAAGTACACCTGCCCCTCACATTCCATCAAGGAAACAGTATTTGTCACTATGATCATGCCTGTACACTGAAAGGTCCAATATCCATCAGCAAACACAGAGGGAATTAAAGCCTCTATATTTATCCCAGCTCACTGAGAAAGAACATCCCAATTACTATAGTTGATTCCGGAGTGCAACGTGATTTCCAGCTATGCTGTGATCCTGCTTACTTGGGAAATCAGTCTCAGGTGTATCATACTAGAACACACAGGTCAAGAACTGCCTACTTCCTTCAAGGATGAGACAATTTCAAAAACATCCTGATCATGACCTACACAGTATTTCAGAGTAAGAATTATATTTATATGAAAAAAGCTTTGTTTCTCAAGCACCTGATAAAGGATAAGCACAAACTTGAGCTGATACAGCAAAAACCTTAATGCAGAAGTGTTTCAAATGCTCCACTGATCAGAGCAAGTCATTACTGTACTAAAAGCAATGCTGGTACGAGTCAGTGCAGTTGAGTTTGCACAGCTTCCTTTTCTTTTGGCTTTTTATTTCCTTCCCTGAGAAAAAAAACTTTGCAATCCAACTGGATCTATGGAAAATGTCTAGACTACAAGCACTGGGACTGCATGTAGTACATGTACAGAGCTCAGTTTGAGACTGAGTGAAGACTAAGAACACCCAGCAACCATGCACAGCTCAGAAAGCAGAAACCTGCCATGTGACAGCTCCCTACATTCAATTCTGCACGCAGAAGGTAAGTTTCCCTGTGCTCATTTGACACATCCAGAAGAGCTCCATGGTGTTTTGCTGGATGCAGACTAAAATGACAAGGAGACAATTTTGTTTCTCTGCGTTCTTTACTACCTAAAGCAAGGGACAGACCTATCTGGCAGCTCTCCAGAAACAAAACATCCTCACTAATGCCTATTCTGCCTCTGAAATATCCTTATGTGGTTTAAGATGAGGCTGGAAGCTAGACAGCTCCTCAGATCTACAGATAGAGTCTAGATCCATTCTGAAGGGCATCCAGGTTTGTCACCTGTGGGTAGCATAAAGTCTAAATTTCTGTAATATTCAAAACTAGAAACTTGTGTTAATTTTTGTCTCACTAAAAACACCTATCAGGTGAGCAGCTTTATATCAGATAGCTTTTTACCTCAAAAGACCTGGAGATATCAACATTTCTTCTGCTAGTTCCTACTGCAACATTCTTGCATCAAGTTCTTACAGATGACTGAGAGTACTGCAAAATACACCTTTGGTAGCTAGTTAAGTGTTTGACATGAAAACCCACCAGTTTTATAAACTCTTAATTAGCAGACCTGCATCTGAAAAGGTGTACCATTTTCAGACTCTCAAAATATTTACCAAAAAAGTAAAGTGATTTGTTGCAAATGACAAATGCACAGTCCTGAGGACACCTGGAAATGAAAAATTTGTTTTGTTTTAAAGCTTTTTGTACAGCATTAAAGCTTAAATTAGGGATTCCTACATCACAGCTCAACCTAGCAAGTGCTATGAAGAAAGGTTCTCCAATGGAAAAATCTATTCAATCAGAAGTTTTTCTTTTAATTTGATTTTGGTTTTTTTAAACTCCACATCTGTGGAAACTTAAGTGACAACTTAACTGAAACAAGTGATAACTTAATCCACTGAGCACCATTATGAACTCAAGTAAGTCACCTTTTCAGAGTATCACCAAGTTCTGGATATTCAAGTGGAACAAAATAAGTAGCTTTATGTAATGGAAAGGAAAATGTAACAGAAATAGGATGGATTCAAAATCCTGAAAATGCCAATC